GGGGGGGGGGGGGGGGGGGGGGGGGGGGGGGAGTATGTCAACCTATTGCCTAGCAGTGACGGCTTGTGATGTGCAGCAGTAGTGGTTTGTCAATGGAGACAGAGGAAGCTAGCTTCCTCAACTATTTTGCTTATCATGAGCTGTCTCTGCAGTCTAGTTGAAGTTATATTTTCCCCTTTCTTTGCTTATGAGGACACTTAACCACTCTTAAAGCTATTCAGAGAAGGGGAAACCACTCCGTCTTCACCTAAACTTTTGATTGAACTTGTATCCCCCCTTGGGGAGTGGAGAACAAAGGACTACTTCTAGAGGAAAAACTTCATCAATGGTCCAAAAACCAGCCCTTGTGGAAGGCACCAATACCTCCAATTGATGGAAATGCTGCTAGGGGGGGGGGGTAAGAATTCAACTCAAAAACAGTGCAATGTGTTCCCTACATTCATTACCCCCAAAAAGTCATTCTACTGTTAGATAGATCTTCAGGGGGCTTATGCAGCTTGTACTTGTTCCCTTGTTCTGCCGTTAACATCAAGTTGTAAGAATTGCAAAATTTCCAAGTTCTTGATGTGAGATCCCTCCTCATTAACTTTCTCTCTAGTAACCAGAGTCCTAGGACCAAAAGCCACTCATAAGGAAGTCCCTTTACCTCCTTCATTATCATAGGAACTCAATACTGAACCCTTTCCACTTCATTTCACTTTGACACCCATGCATGGGAAGAGCCATAGTCCTAGATGTGTTTCAGAACCATAAGAAGATTGTCATCCACAACTTGAAAAACTCTTGGCCTAGGCTTAAGCATATTTCAATAAGAACAAGCCTATATTGAGATCATAATAATGTGATGAAGGTCATGGTCCCAAGCTTGTAGAATGAAGTAAGAAACCTTCATTGACATTTTCATCCACAATACATTGGAGTTAGTGACTCAGATTTGATAGGCCTATTTATATAGTCTGACAGATGTATTTTACCTGAACACCATGGTAGCATATTTCTGTATCCTGACTTTGGAGATAGGCATATTCTCATTTTTGCTCAATGGTTATATAACCAGTTGGGACCATAATTGGGCCCATGCTGATCAAATTAACTTCAGTTAGAGAAATGGTGTCATGTCTAACTTCAGATGACAAAGATGGGATCTGGTGGGATTGTCTTGAGCTGTCCTTTGATGATACTATGCTGTTGTATTGACTGTTCCTTACTTGCCCCCCTCTTCTGGTGATGTTGTTAGAGGTACTTGAGAGACACCTTGTGAGTATAAAGATAATTAATATGTAGAGGTGTTAAGCACATGGTGCAACATCACTCTGAGTAAGGTAACAATTACTTCACAACTTGCCTGTAGAAATTGATTCAAAAGTAGGGAGCACATGTAATATGGTGTGAAAGTCAATCCAAAAGCCTTGCAGGAATCCAATGCATAGCTCATATTTGGTCAAAACCCATGTAACCAAATGTTAGGAACTTTGAATTTTTTTTTCCTTACTGTGAAGTCAAAATTACAGGTTGTCTCACTTTTATGGACCACCCTGTTTAGGTGACTAATTGACTCAGGCTCATTTTCTGTCAAGATTATAATGGTTCTTAGGGTGGGTTCTTGCCCTTTTAGCCATAAAAGACCTTTTACGTCCATTGCCAGCATAGGACTAAAAGCCCATTAACAGCTAAAACGGAGTACAAGAACCCACCCTTAGTTAATGTGATTTAAATAAGCTCTTTTTCCTCTCTAAGTTGCATACAACAATGAGGAAGCTATTTTTGTTGATTGAATATGAACAACTACATTTCACAAAGATTTTGCTGCTGTAGTGAGTTATTTCTCTATCATGGATTGCCAAAATTCATGAAAGATCAGAAGAGTTTTTGGGAAAGGAATTTGAATAGGAACAGGACCTAACAGGAAATGGATCTTTAATTCTAATGCTCTTCTTTTTATTTTTACTACTTTTCCTGGTCTTTTTTTCAGTTATTCATGAAGAAGACTCAGCCCCAGCATCATGAGCTTCACTAAATGTATTGCTCATATTTAATAAAGAAAAATTATATTATTTTATGGAATCTAGAAAGAAAAAATATTGTTAAATTCCATATGCCATGAACTATTGTAATCCTGAAATTGAACTTGCCTCAGAGAATAATTACTAGGGACAGGATTTTCATGCTCTATAAATCTATCAAATGTGATGCTTTCATGCTGCAAAAAAGTCCAAAATATGCTCTAAAAACATGCTCCAAGTTTTTCTCTATGGGATGGTAGTACAGCTTTGTTTTTCTGTTTTGGCACTTCAATAGTGCCAAAACATAATTTCGGAACTGACTGGGGTCAGATTCCAGCGATTGGATCTTAGCAGAGCCTTAAACATGGAAAAACTGCTCTCCACATCAAGGTTAGAGATAGGAACATACAATAAATGAGGAAAGACATTGGCTGGCAACTTCACTTTGGGAAAATTTGACTCATTTCCACTGAGAACAGAATTAATTTATTGAATTGCGTCAAGATCCATCTTCTTCTACATCAAGGAATCAAACTTTCCCTAAGTGCTTTTCCCAATAGATCTAGGTATTGATTTCAGCTGTGTCTCCCCAAACATCATTAACTCCATAGATTCTATTAATTTTGAGCCACATCCTTCCAATAAACAGCAAATCTCCCCAGATGCTCTCATCCTGGAATGTTTCCTGTGAGACCTGAATGCAATATGCATCATCTGAAGGAAAAGAGTCCATAACTTCCTTCACAGCATCAAAATTTTTGGCATAATATGATGCAGCTTCCAGCCATGTGCCCCACCTAGAGAGCATGTGTTCTGGTGGCAACTGAAGGTCAGGCAGGCAGTCTTTGAACTTTTGAATTAGAGATGGAGCTTTCATAAACACTTGCTTGGTTGTACCTATGAGGTTGTCAACTTGGCAGAACTTTCCCTTCGCAAATTTGTAGACACGATGAAGAGCTTGTGCCAAGCAAGTCACATGAAGCATATTCGGACTATGAACACGCTTGGCACAGGCAGGACAGACAAGGTTGCCATGCAAAGCTTTTTTGCTGCGAGCAATTTGAGGAATGCAGTCTGTCTGTTACTCTCTTTTTATCGTCAAATTTTCAGTGCATCATGGGAAAAAAAGTTATGTTTACGGGAAATATGCTCCAAAAACGAGATATTTGCCATTTCATGCTGTCACAACCAATATATGCTAAACATGCTGAATAGAACAAATGCTGTTTGACTTTCCTCATTGATAAAGATGGCCACATTAATGGTGCATGAAAATGGTCAAAAGGAAAAAAACATGCTTTTATAGCATGAAAATCCTCTCCCTAATAATTACTGTTGCTTATAGTATGTTTATAGTACAATTATAGCATGATCCCCTGTAATCATAGGCATGAGCATGATTCTAACCTGTAGTGTCCTCTTATATTTCAGATTAGGTCAAATCCTGTGTTATTTGACATATTTCCATAGCCTTCCAGCAGAGAATCTACCTCACAGTTTCTATCAGATTTTTTATGAATGGTATTGGTTGAAGGCTAATTTAGTGAGATTACCTTGGCCTGCATAGTGCCTTATTTCAAGAAAGTGACCATGAGCAGAAGATCCACTGTTTGCTCCTTCTTTATGAGAGGAGCTTGCAAATTTGGAGAGAATTGTCGATATGAACACCCCGGTATTCATCTTTTTGTTCATATTCATATTCACAGATCCTGGTGATTTATGAAAGAGGGTTATAGGATATTTGCTGTATTATAACTTGCAGGATACTATGACTATCCTGTGGGCGGACCGTCTCACCAATACAGGAGACCATATGGGTATGATGAACCACCAGAGTATAATTATGGTTGGAGTGGTCAAGATGCTTGCCATGGTGGTGGGTTGGAGAGTGATTGGTCTTGGCAGCAGGGAAGTCAGGGTTACTCATATGACCAGAGCCAAAACCGTCAGTTTTCTGGAGGACAATATGGAGATGAGTCACAGGGATCCAGGAAGCAGAGAAAGCAACCTTCAAAGGGTAAGCCCGTATTTTGAAGACGGTTATGTAAGGGCATGCATGGGAGAGCCCTTGTATGGGTGTATATCTTGCATGCCAATTTTGTCTGTCCTCCATGTAGCATGTGAAAATGAGTGTCCTCAAACAAACATGAATGGGTTCCCTTGGGGAATCAAACCCTCATGCATTTTCCACACCAGATTTGTTCATGAAACTCTTTCATGGCGAACTTGGTACAAAGACCCTCACATTCGAGAACTTTTGTATGACTACTTAAGCAATCTTGGTGAGTCCCCTTGCACCCTTGAGATATCTTCACCTGCGCATTCATGCATTAAATTAACCTTCAATAGGTTGTTCTTCATTGTCTTTGATTGGGAAACTGCTAGTACTATGGGGAATCCCCGTTGCTTGTTTTTATACTTCCCTATTTTGTGGCATTCCTTTAAGCTTTCTTATTTTCATTTTCTTCTTTTGCTTTCATGTATTTTCTATTAGGATTTATATCTATGTGATGATTGGGTGTCTTTGAAATCACTTCAAACAACCTAGTCTTATGCAACAATGAATCATTCCTTTGTGTGATTTTCAGTGGCATTGATCCCCTCTATAGGGTGTTCTGAAAGTTTCTCATCTGATAACTTTTAGAGAAAGAGATGAAGTTAATGGGAAGGTTCTGATTTATTAGCATTCTTCATAAACAGGAACATCTCAGGAACTCAAATACACATGCAGCAATATCTATGTGGAATGTTTTTGACTCTGGATCAGAAACTTGTTAATCTAAGCAAGTTTATCCTCAACAGCTAAATAAGTGAAGATTCTCCTAGCATGAGGAACTTGAAGTATTTGATATTAAATAAACACAACATTGACATATTTAATAAAGAGAAATACAACCTGTAATATAAGCACTTGATGTTTTCACACTCACCTTGAATAGCATCTCCATGAAAATGGCTCCTGCATGGCAGAATGCTTAGAAAAATCTAAATTGCTGCTGGTAATCTCACATAGGGTGGTGTAACAAGGGGATGGCCATGTTCCATGCAGTAGGAATATGGTTCTTAATAATATACTGATTGACAAAAGAACTACATTTTGCATGGGTGGGTCAGAAATCTTCGGAACAACCTGTATTTTACCCCTGTTGCCTATAAGTATGTGTCAGCCTATAAATATGAAAGGAAAAAAGGATATTAGAAGGCATATGGAGATGTATGTATGAATGTTGCTTGCCATACATTGCTCATTCTATCTTGAGACTTCTGCAGAACTGAGTGTTAAATTTACTGTTCTGTTTACTTTGCTGTTTTATCCTTTTAAATTAAACCCAGAATCTATTGCTGTTTGTGACATGTATGCTCCTGCATTATCCTGGTTCATTTGCCATGTATCTGTTAATAACCAAATGGATTCTATGGGAACTAAATTGAACCAATTTCCCTATGGTTCAAGACTAAATACTCAGCTGTTTGCTGAGAGGCTGTTTTGGCGTCCATGCCTGCTGAAAATGTAGCCATCTTATTTACAAAAACTCTGAATTGCAGCAGAAGATTAAGTGATCTTTTGGTGACTGGGGATTTTCCCTCCCTCCACCATCTTGCATTCATATCCACTCTATACACACAAGATCCGCCAGAAATCAAAATTCCAAGAAAGAGAAAATTTGGGCTGCTTTCAACTATGGGAATCCCAGTTATTGAGGAGTGTGTTTATGAATTAAGAACTTCAAATTGTCTATATGTAAAAATTGACTTTGCTATGACCAAGGTTCTCACAATGACTGAGCTAACAATGCGAGGGGTATAAATACATGTATATTATGGGTACTGAACTGGGACAAGGCTTTATTTGTTGCTATAACTGAGCTTTCATTTTAACCAAATTGGGCCTAGTTATAATGGGACTTGATTATAACCACTTAGTAAACAAGTTAGTGGGTTTCTGATTCACTTCTTCTGGTTCATTTACTCACACCTGTTAATTCATTCCAAGTTCTATAGATAGAAATATGAGATAAATTGGGATGTGTGGTATCAACTCAATGATTTTCATTCTTGATTGATGGGAAGATAAACATGTTGTTTCAGCATTGTTCATTTTCTCCAGGATGGAGAGCATTCACAGAGAAGTGCAATGGACAGAAGTGGGTTCCATTGCATTTTGAATGCATAGATATGATTTTTCTTTTTTTTTATGCTAGTGACAGGGAGTAAGATAAGATTTTGTATTCCTAACAAAAGTATGGACTGAATTCCCAAAAAATGAGTCAAATTAGAAATATTTCTTGTAATTTTATCTACAACATATGTTTAACATCAGTTTCTTTCTCTTGCCAGAATAATTCTGTGAATTTACACAATGCTCATGAACTTTTATTTCAGAAGCTGCTATGACCATGGAAGACCCTAAGAACAAAAATGAAATCTTGTAAGTTCCTCCAAATCTCATGATGCTTTCATTGAGTGTTGTTAGAACACAGTTACTTTCTGTGTTTATGTATGCACAATGCTAGGCATCACTTCTATGATTGCATCCTAACTTTCTATCTGTCACATGAGCTGATTCATCTAATGTAGGTCCATTATTGTAGGTTTCATACTTGAGGAGAGAAGACAGTCTGTATTCAGATAGTATTGGGATAGTAATCAGTTACTTTTTCACTCGCTCTCTGTCAAAGAATGAGAAAACTATAGTTTCCATCAGCTCTTTTGGGTTCACACTGTGCCATAAGATGATGTCAGTGCCATCAACGCGTTAGGTGCCCTACAACCCACCAGTGAGTCATATGCCCACTGGCTCAGCAGGCACAAAAAGGGGCCAGACAGCTAAAGTGTTAAACATTCCACATTGATTCTGGTGTCAGCTGTAGACATCTATAAAGTCTGAGCCTAAATATGTACTAAATAAGGGGGAAATATGAAAAATAATATGAATAATAAATAAAAGTGAAAGGATATCTGAGCCCAGTTTTTTAGGACATGGAAATTCTTTGGGAATATGAACTCTGATTGAGCCTCAAACTCAGTTTGTCATGCATATTCTATCTGATTTCACTCATGTCTACTATGTTGAGGATATGTACCATATCATAGTTTTGCACAATTTGTTTTCCTTTAGTGGAGATGGTTAGGCTTGCAAAATAATCTCGTCTTTTTTAATTAGCATTTTAGAAAATTGAAGAAAATAGATTATCTTTTATTTTATATCTATAGGTATGAATGGCTCATTTTAAGTTTTCTCCTCTTTGGATGTGGTAGCTTTTCATACTTACTCATGGATATTGAATTACTTTCAGATAAACATAGCATATTAGTGTAATTTCCTACAGTTAGTGCTTTCTTTAAGATTTCAAATGTAAACTTTGCCATTGAGTAATTCCTGCTTACATCTAATAAATCAGGTCATCCCATAAGTAATGACGTTTTTCTGACATAGCCTTACTTGTGTGTTCTTTATACATGTAACTGCGAACATCCCATGGAATATTTCTATGCTAACTTGTGCAGGGGTTAGTCGTCAATATACGTGAAGGTTTTCACGAGGTAACAGTGCTCCGTTTTTCTTGGACACTAAAGACAAGATGGAGATGTCAGAAGAACACATTAGGCATATAATGCTTTATGAATTTAAGAAAGGGAATAACGCGACTGCAGTCACGAAAAACATTCGAGATGTTTATGGTGAGGAAGCTCTGAATACGAGGAAATGCCAAAGGTGGTTCCAGAAATTCAGGTCTGGTGACTACAGCTTAACTGATGAAGCACGTTCAGGCCGACCTATTGAGTTTGATGATGAACTGCTGGTGGCTACACTTGATGAAGATCCTGCTGTAACTGTTGAAGAACTTGCTCAGAAGCTCAATTCCACCCATTCCACCGTTCACCGCCACTTGCGACGGCTAGGAAAAGTGTCAAAACTTGGAAAGTGGGTTCCACGTGTGTTGTCACCAGACAATCTTAGGGATCGAGTAAACATTTGCTCTTCCCTACACTCTCGTGCACTTCAAGCGCCGTTTTTGAATCGACTCATTACTGGGGATGAAAAATGGGTGCTTTATCACAATGTTAAGCGTCGTCGACAGTGGGCTAGTGCCGGGGAACCTGCTGTACCACAGGCAAGAAGAGGTCTTCACCCCAAGAAGGTTTTGCTGTGCGTTTGGTGGGATATTCTTGGCGTTTTTTATTTAGAACTGTTGCAGCCCAATGAAACCATAACAGCGGAGGTATACTGCCGGCGGCTCCAAAGTTTGAGCGCTGCATTGCAGGAAAAACGTCCTTCATTGGCCAATCGCAAGGGTGTTTTGTTTCATCAGGACAACGCGCGTCCTCATACCGCTCGGATCACGTGTGCCAAAATCGAAGAGCTGGGTTGGGAAAAAATTCCACATCCGCCGTATTCACCAGACATTGCACCCTCCGATTACCACCTATTCAGAAGTCTACAGAACTATCTCAACGGAAAAGAATTTGAAAGTTTGGAGGCTATCAAAAGTGACATGTCCGCATTTTTTGCTTCAAAGCCAAAGGAATTTTATAAACATGGAATTGAAATGCTTGTAGAAAGGTGGCAGAGTCATAGAGAACGAAGGGGAATATATACTTGATTGAAACTTGATGCGATGCAGGTGTATTTTAATTTTGAAAAACAGAAAAAAACGACATTACTTATGGGATGACCTGATATATAGACGATCGTGACTGAGTGACTGACTGACTGATGCTAATTCTAACCATGTTCTAGAGAAGCTAGAAATTTGAAACTTGGTACACATGTACATTTCGGGATGCAGAGTTCAGAAAAAATCTGACTTTGGAGGTACATGCCCTGGGGGGCACCCATTTTTGGGGGAAAATTTTTTATTTGCTTCAGAAGCAGAGAGACATGGAAAGCTGAAACTTGGCATGGACATGCCTACTGAGGCACAAAGTTCAGGAAAAATGTTAAATTTCAGATGCATGCCCTAGGGGCATACTTTTGGGGGGTGACGTTTTCAAGTAATTTTTTTTTATTCCTTCCAAATTGGGTAGAGATGGAAAGGTGAAACTGGATACATAAGTACCTATTGGGAACCTGAATTCAGAAATTTTCAGAATTTGGAGGTAAATGCCCTGAGGGCACAAATTTCAGGGGAGATGTTTCCAAGTACAGGTAAAATCTCGTTGTAACGAATACCGCTATAACGAAATTTTCAGTATAACGAATTTTTTTTACGGTCCCAGCTGAAGTCAGGTCGACTGCATGCTGAAAAACTCTTATTATAACGAATCAAAAAAGCGCAAAAAAATCAGTATAACGAACTTACTTTTTCCAGAATTTTCATTTTTCCTTCGAAGAATAATACTATAGCTCAAAATGGTTCCCTTTTGACTTGAAGAATACCAGCGTTTTCAGTTATTTCCTTTATAAAAAATTGCAAAATAAGTGAATCTCGATATAACGAATTTTTCAGTATAACGAATTTTTTTTTAGGTCCCTCCAGGTTCGCTATAACGAGATTTTACCTGTATTTTTTTTTTACTTCAGTCAAACAGATAAACATGGAAAGCTGAAACGTGACATGGACGTACCTACTGAGAACCTGCGTTCAGAAAAAATTTCAAGTTTTGGATACATGCACTGGGGGCATATATTTAGGGGTGACGTTTTCAAATAATTTTTTTTGTCCACTGAATTGTACAGAGATAGAAATGTGAAACTTGGCACAGCAATAGCTGGGGTGATGGTGAGTTCAGAAAAAAATGACGTTTTGTGGCGCATACCCCCGGGGCACAGCTTTTGGCTGTCGACTTTTACAAAGATATTTTTGAACCAGCAAAAAGAGGAAACGGATAAGGTTGAAACTTGGTATGCATGTAGTTGTCTGAGTATTGATTTCAGTAAAAATGTTAATTTTTAGGTAAAACCTTTGAGTGCATATTTTTTTTGCAAAATGTGCATTTTCTGGTAACTTTTCTGATTCAATGAAGGAGAGAACTAAAGAAAGTTGGAACTTGGAGCAGAAGTGCCTGTTCGATTGCTGAGTACATGCCCTACTTTTCAAATATGATCCCTCAAGGCAGATTATGAAGAGATTTGAAGTCAGACACACAGGAAACAATGGGAGTAATTATTCCGATGAAAATATAGGTTTTGTTCTTTCTCGATACACATTCCGACAGGCACATACTTTTAATATGTTTTTGCCACTTTGAAAATAAATAATTGAATGAATCATTATCCTGGGAATGGACAGCCGAAGGCGTGACAACAGCAAGTTTGTTTGCCCGAAGGGCATAAACTCCCTAGTTTCATATATAGGTAAATCTTATGAGTCTTTCAACATTTTAGTTTGATAAAACAAATGTCATTTTCTTGCTTATAGCCTGAATTCTAATGTTATAGGAATAAATTACATATATAAACTCCACTCTTTTTATCCCTTGAAATTTTCTTTTAGGGAAGCTTTGAAGAAAGAGATGATGACATGGGGAAACAGCAACATGTGGCGTCTTTCATGCTTTGCTCCTGTTCGGGCAGCACCAAATGTTCCTGGCTTCATTGAAATCAGTCCTGAAGAAATTCAATACATGAAGTTACAATCTGAAGCTCAAGGAAAATCGGAGGAATATGTAAGATCTTTATAATACAGGGTGGACAGAAAGTCCCTGACGATTTCAAACCTTTATTACGACACCATTTTTTAATCAGCACCAAGGTGTTAACCAACACCATACATCAATTGAAAGCTTAACTCATGAGGTTTTTAACCGTTGTCGCAGAATGAAAATCGCATTAGTGGTAATTTATTTATCCGTCAGATGGCGCGCCGACCCACTTTTTGAGATCGCGCGCGCTTCGCTCTTTCCTGCTCAAAATTGACAGTCACTCCTGAAACGTGTTCACGACGCAGCAAAAAGCACGGTGTGTGCTCTGGTATGCAAAATTTGAGTCTGCAACTCAAGTGCAACGTGAATTCGCAATAGAATTTAAATTTAATGTTCAAGTCGGAGATGCTCCCTCCATAGGCTCCATTATTGACTGGCATCGAAAGGTCGTCGAAAAAGCTAGCGTTAAAGATCGCCATCGCAGTGGTGGGTCGAGTGTCTCTGAACAAGATGTTGGAAGGGTACAGAATGCATTTCAGGATGGTCCAACCCCTGTTTCTGCGTCGCGCTAGTGAACGTTTGCAGATGCCCAAATCAACAATCCATACAGTTTTGAGAAAGATATTAAATTTTACTCGCTTAGGAATCGGATCTGTGACACCAGCGTGAACATTCCAAAGGGCAATCTGCAGGACGTGTGGAGGGAAATGGAGTACCGACTTGACATCTATCGTGCCACTAATGGAGGTCATGTCGAAGTTCATTAACACGTTGGCGACAATGCGTCCTGATGCCAGGATGCAGATTTTTTTTCAGGTCCCACGCGGCGGACAAGCAAAAATAGGCTGGTCGTCAACGTGTTAAGGAGAGTTTTCAATGTTTCAGAAGTGATTGTCAATTTTGGGCAGGAAAAAGCGAAGCGCGCGCGATCTCAAAAGTGGGTCGGCGCGCCATCTGACGGATAAAAAAATTACGACTAATGCGATTTTCATTCTGCGACAACGGTTAAAAACCTCATGAGTTAAGCTTTCAAGTGATATATAATAACATAGGTGTTGATTAAAAAATGTTGTCATAATAAAGGTTTGAAATCGTCAGGGACTTTCTGTCCACACTGTACATTTTCCATCCATGTTGTTTAGATTATCTCTGCTAAACGAAAAACCAGTACTTCTTGTTGAACTAGATTAAACCTCTTTTGCTGAAATTTTTGAGAGAAAGAAAAAAGCATATCCTTTTGGAGAGAGAGAAAGAAAGGGAATGTGCATATACTTCTCACCCACCCTTTGCAAGCACCTTCCTCACATACATTTTCTAATTCCTTCTCCCTCACTCTGAGAGAGGAGCTCCTCAATACCTTTCAAATGTATCTGGCTCAAAGAGAAAAATTAATATGAAGATTGATGAGGGGAAGGGCATAAAATTCTGAGTTAACAAAGGGATGATGACCCATTTGATTAAATTCATGGAGGAAGGCAAACCACAACAATGGACACATGGGTGACCAGAACCATGTCTTTCACTGCAGTTGTTGCTAGCTGATTAACCCATCAAAAATGAAAAAAGTGTGCTTCAAGACTGGGTAACCATCAAGCAAATGCAAAGTATAATATTCTTTGCAGCACAGCAAGAATTGGGTCCCCTCTGACTGAAGAGGACTCTCAAGCAGTCTATAAATCTCATATGTTCCATTAATCAACCATCACCCTGTTTTTAGCCTATTTAATAGGTATATGATATGTACACATATAAATATAATTTTGTCTATTGCTTTAGCAATGAGTAAAGATTTCTTTCAAGTCTGTAGCTACAAATATAGCATGAAAAAGCATAAAAACACTGTCACATGAACTTTGCAGGGACATGACATCAAGGGCATGGTTCATGGAAATGATTCAGTGAGGCAACAAATCTGTAGTCCAACAAGTCAACAAGCAGAAGCTCTTGTAAGTACCTTGCTTTTCTTGCAAATGAGGTTTTTGGTGTAGCTGTGCCTCTTGAGTATTTATTGGATTTTGTCTTTGGTAGGTGGTTCTGGTATTGAGGAACAATTCCATTCCAGAATCTCTGTTTCACAACCACTCAGCAAACCTGGTTCAGAAATGGTTTCAGTCATGTGGGGACAAAGTAGTGGCACCAGTGACACTATCATTCAAGCTGCCTTCTGCAACTGGTGGGGCATTCCAGCAGATGGAGAGTGAGGAACAAACAAATACCAACACAGCCCCCCCCACAAACAAGACTTTTGGAGTTCAACTGCAGTTTAAACTCCCTGCATCAGGAACAATCCCCCTTACCACAGGACAGGATTCTGTCAAGATCCAAGAGACCCTCACACCTGTGTCAAAGGCTTCAAGTGTTTATTCTCGACATGAAGATCTCACTGAAAAAGAACTGAGCGAATTCATGGCTCCCAGGTTCACTCTGGGGAGCATCCCAACACGCCCACCCCCTCAAGAACTCATTTGAACTTCCTCTCTTGCTCTTATATGCCTTTGATATCCTGTGTTGCAGTTTCACTTCACTTCTCTCTTATTTATGTAGCATGGGTGGGAACATTGTTTGGTCCCTGCTTTTTTTTCATGAGGTTTACCTCTGACAACATTGAGGTATGAATGGTGCTGTCTTTCATCTGGCTTTGGTGCAGATTATTTATTCATTTGTTGAGCCCTCTGGGAAGCAGGTTGCAACAAAAGAGGAGTTGGATGGGAGATGTGGGTTAGTGTTTATGCTTGGAATTCTCCAGTCACTATTCACGCTGCAGCAGTCTTAGGTCTTAATCAGCGATATATTTGTATAAGTTTTAGTCGCTTCTTCTAATTCATTTCCTCCTTGCAATTCATGGAGCACTTTACTTTTTTTCTATGGTGATTGATGCAAAGAGCTCTGCAGATACAAAAGAGCTTGTATTGGAAGTCCCAACTGTGATCAGAGATTATGCGTTTCAGAGTCCCAGATTAGCAAATCTTTGCACCTGCAGGGCATTCTTCGGAATAGATGAATCCATGTTAACTCTAAGGGGTTTATTGTGGATGCTGGGTTGGGTGGTCAGAAAAAGGGGATTTAAAAATCCCTGTTGATGGGTGAGGTATGACCTCTGCGTCCAGACACATTTGACCAGTATAGAGGGTAGTGGGTGGGTGAGGTATGACCTCTGCGTCCAGACACATTTGACCAGTGTAGAGGGCAGTGGGATCATGTCTTGCCAAATTTCGTGGTTGTCGCGACATGGTGAATCTAACCCACACTTGACCCTTGCAGAATCGAGTTACCTTCCGACACCATACAAAAAACTACTTTTCTCAAGTCAGACGTGACAGCGACCCCACAAGCAAGATTAGGCAATAACTCGTTTCAAGGAATGTAGTTATCGCAACTCGTTGCAGATAACGGCTGCGTGTACCTATAGCGTATACACCAATACTCCATTTTGCGTCGATTCGATTCGAGTTTATTCGAAGTCGAAACACGACTCAAACTGAAACAATGTACAGTGACGATTTATGGCAACGTTTTACAATTCTCCCCAAAAAGTTATTTGAATGCTATTCCGTGACTCTTTTCCATTGTCTACATTTTTACATTCTCAAGAAAACAATGAACATGCAAGCATAAATTTTTCATTCGACCAAACAATTGAGTTGTTTCGTGAAAGCGTAAATCCCGCCTGCCTAGACAACGTCGCCGTTAACAAGTGCTGCCCACCTTTGCGCAGTCGTGACCTAACATCATTTCAAACTTGTTTTCTACATACATGCTCATTCACGTTCGAAGGGAATCCACTCGTATGTTTCTTTGCATTCGAACGCAAGTCGCATGCATCATTAAATCTCACATGAAAGACGCAAAAGGTGAGATACGTGTGCTCGTTCCTGCGAGCACATGCATCGACTAGTCATGCACTGCTGTCGTTCTTTAAGCCCCCCCTCCTTGTTCAACTTATGGACATCGCATGCTGTTGAGAACAACTAAAGGCATAGAAATTGCCAACAGCTTGAGCTTTCCCAAACTCTCCAAACAACTCGAATGTCCACCAAACATCTCTAAAAGTTGTGAATGTTGTAGCTCTCCATTCCAGTCGCGTATTACGCCATCAAGGTCTTTTGGGATTATCGAAATGGAAACGATTTGGAGATTGGTTGGAGGGAAAACACTCTTCCTGAATAGTGCCTTCCTCATAACCCTCGAAACCGGATGCCATTATATATCCTTCTCCTCCCCTTGCCACAATCGTTCCACTTTCCTCCGACCCACAGGCAATTTAGCAGGGAAGAAGTAAAGGAAGGCACGATGCGCATCGCGACAAGGTCTTTAACTCATGGTTTTCACCACCATAAAGGCTTTCCATACTTGAACGTTTTTTTCCGCATATCTACTCTGTGACATTTTCACCGAAGACCTCTTTTACCCATTTAAGGGCCAATGAATTCCCTTTAAAATGTTGGTATGAAATATGAGATCGATTGCATCATATTCTGAAAATTATTCTAGGCATACTCTTGACACTGCCAGCCTTTTATGACTGAACGTTACGCTTATGCACTTCAGATTTTTATGAACCACGGTGTTCCACACAACGAAGTAAATTATGCTGAACGAATTACTTCATTATTTCCACAGAATCACCAGACATCATAGCTATTTGCTCCATGGAATGTTCCATCGCGTCGGGAGTAGCGCCGTACCGAAGATATTTGGCGCCCCGTAGGAAATCTCAATCCAGCCCCCCCCCCCCCTCTATACCTCTCCAGCTTCCCCAGCCCCAACAATACATTACGTATTAATTTAATTTCTATGTTTAATTTAGTTAAATTCCGAATAATTTGCTTTTTTCAGTTGTATTCAGATTTTGTAGTGGTTAGGCAGACAATCGGCGCCCTGTGCGGGCGCACCGATCACGGCCCCCTCGGTATGGCTCTGGTCCGGGAGCAAAGGACTCAAAGATATCTGCTGGTGAGCGTCAAGGACCAAATTAACAAAGCATCATTTGGCTCAGTACCTACTCTATGGGATATTCCTTTGCATTATGAACTATTTTTCCTCATCGGACTTCGTAAATCCTGCCAGTTATGATGATCGCTATTATGTTATTATTAGATCATGTTTTTATGATGATACCCTAACCCCAGAAGCCTTCTCTGAATACCCTGCTACAAGTCTTTCGTGTGAAAATTTCACCTGTAGGCTCTGCGCTTAAGTCAATAAGGAGAAATGAGATTCTTTAAAGAAGGGCATCTGGGTGAAAGTCCGGAATTCCCGAAGAGGCACACATTCGAGATTACCTTACAGGTTTTTTCTCCCTTTCTTTCTCGTCACCTACGGGGTCAGCCTCACTGTGATCGCGCTCAGTCGGAGCCAAGGTCCAGGACCATGCTCTTCTTTCCTCTCCTCCTCCTCCTGCAATGGCCTCTCACCTGGACCTCCCACCGCGCGAATGGAGATGCGCGTCGTGAGCAGTGGAGCAGGGAGTCCGGACTTCAGCCAGTCGTCCAGAAGAGGGAAGTGGTGCCGGATGCGTATCGTCATCGCAGTCGCATCCCGGCGAAGGCCCCCGAGGTGAAAACGCGGAGAAGTGCATTGCCCCGGGGGGATTCGTCGTTGTCATCGTCCTCGGGTACCCCGTGGGTTCACATGTCGTGGAAGAAGCCCCAGTTCACGTTCAGGAAGTTCCAGCACAAAACACACGGGATCGGGTTTCGGATCTTCGGTCGGGATCTCGGCTTCACCAAGCACAAAGGATTCGCCTTCCACGTATCCAAAGCCAAGGGGAAGAAACCTGTCATTCATCATTCGCATTCGACATACGGCAGCTCTTAGAGACTTACTTGAACGGGAAGAAAATCTCGTGTTCGTGTGATATCATGGATTCACGGCGAGTGCCAAGTGCTTTAAAGGGATCCGGGCCAGCGCGGACACTGACCGCCAACGCTGCTAATCTGTCAGAAATTCTGACCGGAATGACGGGGGATAGAAACGGAATCGTTGGTGTTCCCCCCCACAATTATCCCAGCCTATTCGAAGGACTGTGCAGGGGTGGAAAGTGGGTTTGCCTAAGACCTCCATTCTTCCCCACTTTTTTATTATCTCAAGCTACTTTCTTTCCGAAGACCATGCCCAATATTTTACTTAACGTGCCTGTCACCTCTTGATGAATAATACAGGGAAATATGAGTATGTCATGTATCTGATGCATATTTAGTCCTGGCTCGACCGTTTTCCCAGTGATTGTAATAACTCTGAAGAATCCAGTGTTCATTCGATTTCATCTTGGTGATTGTTGCCCAATTGTAAAATCGAAAGGCTACTAAGAAGACTTGTTATATGTCGAAAAAAAAGTGTTGCAAGCTTCAGAGGGAAAGAGTGAAGCTATTGTCTTATAAGCGCGGAAAAGTGGCACATTTAGATAGACCAGTTTTCCACAAGAAATCTCAGAAACTTGTCTATCCAGTGAAAGGAAATACTGTCGATATTCATTCAACCAGTTTTCCTTCTATGATTTCCCGTTGCAGAAAATTCAAGCTCTTAATTTCTGTTTCGCCCATAGCGAAACATTCAGAAACTTGTCCCCAATCCTCACCATTCAAAATCTTGTTCTAAATGGGATGTTTACTGCAGAAACCGCGCTAATTCGTAGGAACGATGCATTCTCAATGCACCGGTTCACGCGATTCCAATGGATATATTTCACGGCGTTGCCAAGAATTTATTTGGTAAATGTCGCTAGTGCATCCTAAAGGAATCGGGATGACCAGAGCTGTGTACAACTACCAGTTTCCCTGGCATCGATTGCAAGTTTCTGAGAGCATTCGAAATTCCCACTACTGATAACGTTGCATGTCAATACGGCCAGTACGTGTAGACTTGAAGCGGACAGGACCTCGCGTCCTCGGTTCCCTCTTGTTATTTGCTGCGGAACCACGTCCGTTTGCGCCATACGGAATGCGTCACGTTCTGTCAAGTTTTGTTCAAGTTCGAGGCTACTGCCTCTCTCAAGTACTTCGCCGCTGCTCCGCTCTCCTAAAGCCGGAAATCCCACTGAGCCCCTCGACCTCCAAGCCTACCAGTGCCGGCACGTCGAAACCCAATCTTTTCGGGATGTCGTCCTGGAGCATGGAGCCATTAGGAGAAGAGATCCTCCACCCGGCATCTCATCATACAGGCAACATAATGGAGCCCTGAAACTTTCGTTCGTGTCCTACCTCGAGGGGCTGTGAGGCAGACATGTCGATTCTACATCTATCCCTTTTTATTCAGCATATACCAATGGCTAAAGCCAAGTCATGGCCGATAAACAGCACAGGCTTCAAGGATAGAGTTCTCATTCTGTTGTATGAAAATTCTCATCATTCCCTTGACTCACGTGGAGACGAATCGCCTTGCGTCTGCGATCAAACACATGTTGAAGAAAGGACGTCAACTCTTTTTTTTTACTTCTCCTTTGTCATGCTATTCCGGTAAGTCAGCAAGCTCACATCATCTTTCAAGTCTTCAATAGCTTCTTGCAAATCGATCGTGAGGTATTTATTTTGTTCCTTGACATTCTTTTAATAGGTTGAGGCGAGAGTCGGTCTCATGGCCTATTGGGCAAATTAAATCCTTCCTGCATATATTCGAAAGTGATCGCCTCATTACTACCCTCGTCTCATTACTATTTTATATTTTCCTCCACATCTTGGCATTTTGGAAGTATTGGATAGCAGAATCACCAAAACTAGCTTTTCGTTCATGAATTTTCTCTCAGGAATCAGGAGCGACCGGTTGGTAATTCGACATGTTAGCGTGTATAAAGTGGTCGTGGAGGCGTGTATCGTTGGATTCGGAGCCGATTTTCCTGAAGAAAGTACTCGATGGATGGGAAACTTGTCACCCTCTTTATCTTTCCATTTTTCGATGACCATCCCTCAACTCCTTCCGGTAAATTCATAGTCTTGGACTGCACTTTGTAGTGGGAGTGGATTTCTATAGGAAAAGGATAACTTCTAGCTACGCCATTGAAAGATACGAGAACGACTTAGGAGTAATAGAGAAACAATAAGGGATTTTGGGTGTTTGAACGAAGGTTTTATTTTGGATGGGCATTTCATGCATGACGCCAATGGGATATATGTTAAGGCATACATTCTGTCGACGAGATGATAGACAGGTGCATAATAACGGCCGGGCGCACTTCTGCTTTATTGTCAGAATAATGAAAGTTCTGCACAGAACGTTTTCCCTGTTTGTTTATAATTATTTAATCGTTGTCATGGGGTGCAGAAATTTGAAACCTCCCCGTCGACATGAGGAGACCTTGCTTAATCGGATATGAACGAATCCGGCCACAGAAGCGAGCAGTTCTACCGTTCTGCACACGAGCAGGCTTTTTACATGTACAGCACGTGAACCCTGCCCTTGGTAAGAGAATCCTCTGGAATCTCATCATCTCGGAA